TCATAATCCAACCATCTCTCAAAAATCTGTCCGCTAACAACCAAGTCTTTAGCATTGTGAGCTTCAGGGAACGTTTTGGATTCAAACCATAATAGAAGTAGTAATTAAAAACCTCCCAGCTGGGTGGAGGTATGGCTCGGCTCATACCTGTAATCCTAGCAATTTAGGAAGCAGAGATCAAGAAGACTGTGGTTTGAAGTCAGCCTGGGCAAATAGCTAAGAAACCCTATCTTGAAAATATCCAACACAAAAAAGGGCTGGTGGAGTGGCACAAATGTTAGAATGCTGCCTAGCAAGTGTGAGGCCCTGAGTTCAAACACCAGTACCACCAAAAGAAGAAAAAAGACAGGGTAACAAGCATTGGTGAAGGTGTGGAGTAAACGGAATGCTTGTATGCTGTTGGTGGGAAGGTAGATTGGTGCAGTCATTATGGAGATCAGTATGGAGGTTCCTAAAAAAAAATTCTATGTATATAGGACTACCATATGACTGAGTAGTCCCTCTTCTAGGTGTATACCCAAAGGAAATGACATAACCACCTCATAATGATTTCTGCACTCCCATGTTTGTTGCAGTGTTATTCACAGTAGTCAAGAAGATGTGGAAACAGCCTGTGTGTCCATCAGCTGTGTGTCAGCTCCCCTATCCATGGTGGATACATTCCAAGACCCCCAGTTGATGCCTAACGTCAGGATGGTGCCAAGTCCACTTATTTTTCCCATGCATACATGCCCATGACTACGTTAATAATGCCTTCCATCTTAACTCAGCACTTACCATGCATTGTTGCTGTAAGTTTTGCAGTTTGAGTTGTGACAAAAAATCTAGCCCAGATTTGCTTTTCCTTTTTCACTATTTCACAGATAGAAGATTCATTCTTACCATAGATCTTAGCAACCTCAGGATATAATTTTTCAAATTTCCTTATCAAGCTGAGAACTTTCATCTTTTCACTCAAAGGAAGCACTTTACTACTTCTCTTTGGCATATCTGAGTTGCCAGCATCACTATTCTTGTATTCTAGGGCCATTATTAAGTAAATTTAAGGTTCACTTGAACATAAGCACTGCAGCATTACAACAGTCAATCTCATAAGCAAAACTTATAAGTGACTGGGCAGGTAGCATATACAGTGTGGATATACTGGACGAAGATAATTAATTTCCCGGGTGGGATGGAGTGGGACTGCACAGGATTTCATTGTGCTACTCAACTGGCACACAACCTAAAACTTACGAATTATTTATAGAATTTTCCATTTAGTATTTTTGGACCTCGGTTGACTGAAAGTACTGAAAACTGTGAATGTGAAGCTTCAGATAAGGAGGGATTACATGTATTTGCACACACATACACACAAGGAAGACTTATTCAGCCACCAGAAAGGAAGGGATCCTGCTATTTGCCATAATATGGATGGACTGGGAGGACATTACGCTAAGTGAAATAAGCAAGACACAGAAAGAAAATTATTGAGTGATCTCACATGTAGAATCTAAAAAACAAAGGGAGAGGGTCTCAGGTATATAGAGCTAATAAAAAAACCCAGCAGTTTCTATGGGGGACAGGAAATGGGGAGATGCAGGTCAAAGGTTACAAAGTAGCAAATATATAGGGTGAATAAGTCCCAAAATCCAATATCAACATGAGGACTGTAATAATAGCATATTATTATGCTATATGGGATTGAGGAATTTTGCTAAATATGAACATTGGTGCAGGCAGAGGGGTTGGAAAGAACAGAAACTGTGTGTTATGATGTGTATGTTAACTCTGTCATAGTAACCATTTTATTATATAATCTGCTTTTTGTTTTGTTTTTGGTGGAAGTGGGATTTGAACTCAGGGCTTCATGCTTGTAAAGCGGGTGTTCTACTGCTTGAGCCATGCCTCCAGTCCATTTTGCTCTGGTTATTTTGGAGATGAGGGTCTCTCAAACTATTTGCCCAGGCTGGCCTCTCAGCTTCCCAAGTGGCTAGGATTATGGGTGTGAGCAGGGCTCCCTGCTTATTATATAATCTGTATTTTATAACATGAGGTTATATACCTTAAATATACAAAGTAAAATTTACATAAGCTTTCACTGTCTACAGTGAAGTCAAAGAAACCCTACGTTGAGCTTTACATATGCTCAGTTTCACAGAAATTTTTTTCTTATTGTATTTTCATTTCAAGATTGGTTATCCAAAGTAAATTCCAGAGAAAGTAATTATGATCAGCAGAAAAGAAAGTTACAGAGTCATCCCTGGGTGAAAGCCATGGTGGGTGCTCAAGGCCTGTAGACACCCCCTAGGTGAAGGCTGATCCGAAATAGAGTGTTAACCTAATTCCAGCAGATTTAACAATGGTTTGGTTTTGTCATTTTTGTTTTCTAAATGGCAGTAGTTATGCTTATTTGACAAGATGTTGAGGCTACCAAATTAATTTTGGCAGAGGTGAAGGTGTGGTTGGTTGGTGTTGACAGCCTTTCCTAATCTCTGGTCATGTCCTGACTGCTCGGGGCCTCATGCTTGCTAGGCAGACACTCTATTACTTGAGACACTCCACCGGCCCTGCTTTGGTTATTTTTGAGGTAGGGTCTCACATTTATGCCAGGGCCAGCTGGCCCATGATCCCCCTATTTGTGCTTCCCTGCATAGCTCAGATGATAGGCACTTGCCATCACATCCAGCCATTAGGTGAGATGGAGTCTGGTGAACTTTTTGCCAGAGCTAGCCTCCAACCACGATCCTCCCAATATCTGATTCCCAGATAGCAAGGATTACAGTTGTGAGCCACCACACCTGGCTTGTTTCTAGTTTTGAAGAGACTGCTGCCTTTATGGTTATAATACTGCTTCTCTCTTCTGGTTTCTTTGTCTTATTTTTTTCTTTTTTACCACAGTATTTTTTTTGTGCATACATTCCCATTGCTGCTCATAGACTTTTAATCATTCATAGTTTTTCAGATTTGTTCCCTAGTAATAGTTGCTGAAATAATTCTTAAGTTTGAACTTCCTGTGGCATCTCAAAATAGTCTTTAAATAGCAGAAAAAAGTCAAACATTTTCAGCCAGAGCACCGCTCTCACATTGCATGCTAAAATATCAAACACGAGTGCTTCCAAATGATTTGCCTTCATTCCTCTTTCAGACCTGTGGATTAGTCCAAAGAAAAATTCTTAGGCCTTCTCTGTTGCCACCCCTTCATTTAGCACTAACCCCGGAAGAAGTTTTAGGAAAGCTGCCTCAGAAACCCAGATAAACCCTTTGTTTCTCACTCAGAAATAGGAAGATTATCTCAAAGGGCTCTCCGAGCACCGTTCTTCCTCTACCCTGAGGATTAGACACTTAATACATTAGCTCAAGTTCTGCGGGGTTCTTCCCTATCATCTCGGATAAATCCTATACAGCCCCAGTGTGCTTCTTGTTCCTCATCTGCAATGTGAGCACAGAACTACTTTCCCCAGGGGTTGTCAGTCGCCCACTGAGCTCCTCCAGTGCTGACAGCCGCATGTAAACAAGGGGGAGTGCAGTGCTTAGGTGGAGTTAATTCAGGCCTCTTTGAGAAGGTGATGTGGAAGTGAAGATCTAGCATGGTTAACAGGGAAAAGGCAAAGCAGAACAGTTGCAGGAAGAAAGAACAAGTTCTAGAGCCATGTGGAAAGTGGCCAGAGAGATGGCTGGAGAGGCTAGACACTGTAAAGCAAGGAGTTTGGATGGTACTCAGGAGCCAGTGAGGCTCATTGCAGCAGAGTGAAGGGGAGGGTTGGGTTGGTGTTTTGTTTTTTAACCCATAGGAGAAAAAAACAGAAAGTGAACAAGAAAAGAGATTGCTTAGACAGGGGTTATAACACTGGAAGGGGTGGGAATTCAGGATATCTTTTGAAGATAGATCAAATTAGGACTTGCTGATGGTTTAGGTGTAGGGTGTATAAGAAAAGCCAAAGAGCAAAAGGATTTTAGCCCAAGCCTTTCCTGGAATAGGGAAGTTTAGGGATAAAAATTAACAGTTTGGCTTTGGACATGTTAAGGTTCAGATGTTTACTGAACATCTAAGTGAGGATGTTAAAAGGACAGTTCTAAGCTCTGCTGGCCAGAGGTTCGGGTTTGAGAGAGTTTAGAGCATGGGAGTCACAGTTAAAGCCTGGCTGCTAGCTTAGGTCAGCTGGGGATAGTGTAGATCTGTGGAGGACCAGGGACCAGGTGTGTGGCATGGGGATGAATGTAGGTAGAGTTCTGGTAGAGTTCATGTTGTGGTAAATGGCAACATGAACCTTTGCAGTTTGAGGGCTTATTTCAAGACTCCCAAAGGTCAAGTGGGCCCAGACGTCAGCATTCTCTTACCTGCTTTTCCCTCTGCAGGGAGTCACAGGACGGCTTGCAGAAGAACGGAGTTTATTTCCTACCCTGCCGTCTTGGGTGTGCCTTCACGAGGTGCACCAATGTGGGGCAGAACATGCTGCAGCACTGGCATTAGAACAGTAGGGGTGCTAGGTGGGGCGAGCTCCACCAAGGCCTGATGTAGAGAAGTTCTGTTGATTGATGGGTGTCCTCCAGGCACTAGCTGGAATGAGTTTCTTTTTCACAAATACTGATATATATATATGGTACGGGGAAGAGGGCCCTAATGTGTTGTCAGCTGTGCCCCAAGGCACATGAGATGTAAGCATGAAGCCTTGGTGAAGTTTCCAGAAGACTTTCCATAAAAACAATGAGGGCACAGTTTTCTGAATTAACCCAACTTTGAAGTCCAGACTTCTCCCAGCTCTGTGAAATCTGAGGTCTCTTTTCACTAGACTTTATTGTCCTAGATAATCACTGCTATTACTTTTTAATTCAAAGAGGTGGCCAGAATTCAGTTTCCAAGTCATACAGTAATAGAACAGGAATTGTTGGAACACTACAGTGAACCATATCCAAACTTTGTGATTTGAGTATTAAGTAAAATGTGCTTGTCTTGGTTTTGACAACAAGGTCACAATAGATTAACAAATGAATGTTTTGTTCTTTTCCTTTCCAAGGTTCTAATACTCCGTGTAATAGTCTACACCATAGGAAAAACCATGTAAGTACTGGGCTTGCTCCTCACGCTGAGTTGTGTATAGAGTATGAGAGAGAGGAGACTGTGGTGAGCCCCTGGACATTACCTTCAGAAATCCAAAGGATTCTTCATGAGAGTCACAATTCCCTCCTCCAGGTAAGCATTGGCCCAGACTTTGTCTAGTGATTGCTCTATGTTCTTCAGTGGTTTCGTTGTTTCTATTTGCTTTTTTTTTTTTTTAAGATGTGAAAATACTGAATGATTGTTAGGTCATTTTGAAACAGTGATTCAAACTGTATCTACCCTTTTAGCTTAGCTTTTATTTTTTAGAATTCTTCTTGACTTTGTAACTCTTTTTAATTAAAAAAAACAACAAAAACACGAGCAGATCATCTTGTACTACAGGAATCAAAATCCTTCCTGCCTCCCTTCAGATGTGAAAGCAGCCTCTGTGCAGGTGACACTCAACTTGGTGCCAGTTCCATCTGCTGGGCAGCACGGCCCCATTCTCTTCCCATTGCCTTTAGCACTTGTGGATGAGCAGCTCAAGCCTCAACTGTCTTTTCAATTCCGTAGGACTTGTCACCGGCCGAAGAGGAAGAGGCTGATCCTAGTCCTGTTATGGGTGGCATAGACAGCGTCTCTGAGAGCACCGGCAGCATCCTCAGCAAGCTTGATTGGAACGCCATTGAAGACATGGTGGCCAGCATGGAGGACAAGAGCCTGTGTGTCCACTGGGCCCTGGGCCTGTGAGAGGTGAATAGCATTCTCTTTGCAAGCACTGGCCAGGCCTCATTGATTTGGTTCTAAAAGACTCTACGGGTTTCAGGGAGAGAAGCAATGAAGGAAAGTGATGTATTTACCAGCCACAGCTGTAGTATTACCTGGACTGCCATTCGGAGAAGAGCAACAAATATTCTCAGTAATTTTGCCTTCATAGGGAGAGGCTGCTTAACTAGTTATGTGTTACGTTTTTGCATGTGACGCATTTTCACTCATAATTTAAAAAACGATACATACCCTTCAAGCCAAGTTTTAATGTTTAAGCTCCTTTCAATAAAAGTCTTTTATCTTGCCTCCTTCTTTACCACTGTCTATGATTTGAGAAACAACCTTATATGGTGAACCTGATAGGAAAAAACCAATTTTGCTTTCATTAAAAAGAAAATCACAGTCTTACCCAAGAAACTCAAATTTAAAACATCCTAAAATTCCCTTCAGCAGGGGTTGGCCTGGGAGTGAAAAAGAACTAGCCACTAAACACTAATCCTGAACACTTACTTGTAAATAAGCTAAGTTTCATGTGGACCAAGAGACCTCTGTCTTGTGCCTGTGACCTGAGAGCCTTGACGTCAGAAAGAGAGAGAATACAACGCCTGAGTTTAGAAGGCTTATCTTAGCCTCATGAAAACCACAGTGTAGAAGCCTTTAGTTCTGAAACAGCACAATTTGGAGTTCACTTTTAGAGAAGAAATGACTAAAAACCAGGACTCTTGTCAACCACTTGCCAGTTTTTGGTATAGGATCAAAGAATCCTGTTACCTGAAAAGGCTGCTATTAATTTCTTCTTTCTTCACATTCTTCATTTAAAATAATATCCTGCAGCCGGTTGAATGTAGAAGCAGGTGTGAGAATTCGCTGCCTTCTGGTAAACTGATCATCAGAGAGACTGGCAGAACTGTAACAGTG